ATCTCCTTCTCTTTCCCCTTCTCTTAATTATTGTTTTTCTCTTTCTTCCACCAAGCCATTCCTTTTCGTCGCCACTGTCATATTCATCAGTGAATATTTTCAATAAAGCTAAAAGCCAAGTGTACAGTCTATACACCGCATTCTCAGCATAGCCAAGGTTAAAAATAAGAAAACGTGCTACTTACGAGTACAGGAAAAGTAGATAAGAAAATGGGGGAAGAGATGAAAGCAACAGCTTTCTTTTCGAATTTGTTTTTTGTTGTGGCTTTCTCAAGCCAGGGAAGTCAAGCTCTTTATTTGAGCTGTAAAAGAGAACAGTTGGCATAGGTTATCAAGAAGTACACAATTGTAGATGTACATGAATACCTTGCTACAGCTCAATTTTATATTCTACATTGATGACTAAGAGTACGCACGAGCTCCCACATTTATTATATTCTTCTAATAATTTATGGAATTTAAATGTGGTGAGTTAAATGACCAAGACGAAAGTAACTAGACTGTTTTCGTCCACACCATCCTTATCGTTAGTAAGAAATAAAAAAGTAATAATGGTATAAGACGTTTTCCCACCTCCTCCATCTACAGCCACCACCACAAATAATATGTAACAGCAACAACAACAAAATCAACAACAACAATTACAACAGCAACAACAGCAACAACAACAAAAAATAAACAACAAGTACTGCATCAACAAAAACAAGTTCAACATCATCCAGGACAAGTTCATCGTCAACAACAACAAGTACAACATCAACAAAAGCAACATCAATAACAAGCAGTGCAGTAGCAGAAAACGCAACAGTAAATTCAATCAAAACGAAAGGAGCCGTTCATTAAAAAGGAAACCTTATAAAGAGCAGCAAAAATGATATAATGCTGTCAATACAAGCAGGAAGCTCCCCATGAACAATATTATGTAGAGCATACAAAACTAAAATATCAACGTATTAAACGTATCGTCTTACCCTGGACACGAAGGGTAGGGACAAAAGATACATGAGCAGCATGAAGGCACATTTAAACAGCACTTCTCTGCGTCTCAAGATATGTGGCCACAAATCTGCTGCAGTCGTCAGCACAGTCTCTATGCAGACAAACTAAACAAAAAAAAAACAAAAAAAACTTAAATTAAGTTATAAACCTGCAAATACAGTGATCTAGTCGGCAGCATGATAAATATATAGTAACAAACATTCATCGAGGTTGCCTAACTTTACCTGGGATGTTGTATCCCCTTTAGCCTTGGCTTGTTCTTAATTGGGTCATCCTGTGTGTATAACACTTTCAATTACTACAATCAATAACAAATTGAGTTCTGGATAACCAGACATTGGCGATCTTGGAAGGTAGTCAGAGATTAAAGTACTATTTTCTTCTTTTTTTGTGTCTATCATACCTTTCTTTCTGTTCTAAAATGGCCAGCTAATACTCCAATAATTGGAAAAATCTTCAATAGTCTAAACCTTATTTCCTTTTCAATTGAATCACTGTTTCTGTGTGGGCTTTTTGTACTTTTAGATCAAGAACTTTATTCTTCCATCTGCCAAATGTTCATCCACCTTCCAAAACGATCACTTCTTTTCAACATTATAACAACAGCATTGATTATAATAATAGGGACTTGGATACTGGCTTTGGAGCAAATGGAAGAAAGCATTAGAGAAGTGGAAGGGAACACAATATGATTTATTAAGGATTGTGAAAAGAGGTTACATTCTGAGAGATCTTTTACCTGTGAGTCCAGTCCTACCGTGAAGAGCATGATAAAGAACAAGACAGCCCATAGTTGGGGCACTGGGAGGTAGGAAATTGCTTCTGGGTAGACCACAAATGCTAGACCAGGGCCTGCGTGTTTGGGGAGTAGTGTTAAAGAAAAAGACAAAAAGAAAAATTAATTGCTTACCGCGAGAGTAGATGCGGATTAAAATCAATAAATCATGTAGACAGTAAAATTATACTAAACACATCGTATTATTTCATCCTGGTCCTCTGTTCACAGGGCAGCCACTGGAGAATGCGGAAAGACTACAAGAAACGAAGGTCGAAAGTAAGAGGTCAGAGAAAGCAACCAAAAAATGCTAGGAGAGTAGTGAAACAATACCTGTGTATCTCTACAAATCTCAGTGCTGATACTAAATGTTGACGCTGTGAGAAAAGAGGTGTATTTTTGGTCTTGAATCAAATTAATAATCAGTTTTGAAACTAAAATTAACATTGCCAATTTTTTTTTCAACTTTTTTTCTGAGAATGATTTCAGACATGGAGAATCGTGGGGACCAACAACAATATTCGCACAGAATGAATGAAAACTGTCCTGACGCAGTCCATGCAACTGAATTGATGGGTATGAAAAACAGCCTACCTGCTTTGGTAACGTTTTCTACAGGTATGTCCAGCGTGTGAGCCATGTGTCCCAGAACAGAGAAGACGGCTAAGCCTGCGTACACACTGGTGCCCTCACAGAACAGCGTCAACAGAATGGAGTCTCTAGAGGATTCATAATTATAATGACTTAAAACATTATGCACATTTCATGCATGTATGTATGCTATAATATGAAAGAATATAACATTTTAATTGTCATAAGTCCAAAACATACAAAGCCTGGTAGACTTTCAACTAAGCCAGTTGTCGGACAGTTTCGGCAGCAGATCGTCATTCAAACCATAAACATCGCGGTAGACCTTAAACTGAACCGGAACCAAACTTTTAAACCATGCATCCTGTTTCGTTTCTTCCGTATTGCTGTTCCGCGGAGTATCGACGGAACTGGACTGAGATGTCACCATTGCCCCGTGTTTGATATTGCACTACCTTTCACCAAAGTTCCATGTACATTAGGTAATGGCAAGGAAAGATCAAAACGTTAATAAATTAAGACTAGTGTCAGTTGAATCCTTTTTCTCAAAACATGTTTTGAAAGAGATTGTCCAAATTTGGTAACACCTCTCAAAATAATGCAAAGTACGAGAGGAGACGATCGAAGGTCGAAAGTTTCCCGTTAATATCTGCTGTGTTATTTCCTTACAGATAAAATGAATTCTATAAATTATGCAATTATCTCGGTCAAAAAAAACCCCGTTAGATCATAATTATTATTTCAAAATTCGAATGGATTAATTATTAGCTTCAAGAGGTGCTTTAAATAATTTGTAAAAGCAGTGTTAATCACACCAAAAAAATTTCATTTCCAATGCAATTAATATAAAGGATACAATCATCTTGGTCTAAGAAATGTTCAAATCATAATTATTATTTCAAAAGTTCAATAGATTAAATATCAGCTTTTAGAGATTCCTTAAATAATTTGCAGTTTTGCAGTTACTCACTTTTACCATATTTAACTCCCAATGCAATTAATATAAAGTATACAATCACATTGGTCCAAGGAATGTGCAGAACATAATTAATGTTTCCAAATTTAAGAGGTGCCTTGGATAATAATATGTAATAGCATTTACTCACTTCAAACAGTTGTTGTTGAACTTGTTGTAGCTGGCCATGGTGATGAGGATGCCGTAGCATGGACCCAGGGAGTAGAACACCTGGAGACTTGCCTCTACCCACGTGCTGGTCTCCAATAGTTTTCTGAGCAGAGAAAACACTAACGAAAGTACTAGCAATATTTTCTTAACCCAGTCTTCACGAATAGTCAATAGACTAACATCAAGTGATAGAGTACTGTTCATGGTTTTCTATACACATATGAACCTCAGAGACAAATTATTTGAGTCACATCAGAGTGAAATCCGACGCTTGTCGAAAAAAAAGGAAATCGAAGAAATCACCATTTTTCCGAATGGTTGGCAAATGTTATTGCTTTTTTAGTTTGTTTTGGGTTAGTCTCAATACCTTGGTGTCCTCTTAGAAATACATTTCTGGGTGGATTTTACTAGAAAATGTTTATCAGAGGTACAAAATACGTAAATTTGCAGCTTTCAAGGACACTACAGCCTAGTAAGTAATCAAATTCTTGTGACCATTTTCTCACTAATCTTACATCTGTTACCCAACTACCTATACCTCCTTCAATGACAAACTTTTGACTTTCATTTAAGATGGGTATTTTTCCATCAAAAGTAAGGCAAATGAAAAAGCTTTTAAGTTTATACCAATAACTCCATATACCCCCAAACTGACAAGCGCCTGATTCACGTCAACGAGGCATATTTACTTTGATGACTTGACACTGTCGAGCTTTTGTTTCTTTTTTCTGTGTTTGTTCTCACGTTGGGTCGAAGCGTTTAGAAATCACATGTCAGCGAGTTCTAGAGGGGTGATACAATCTTATACACCAATAAAGCAAAATAACCTGATATTATTCTCTCTCCCCCTCCCCACCCACCAACCCCTCCACACCTTTCCCCCAAACAAAAGTCATCATGTACAAGATAAAAATAAAAGAAAAACAACAAAAAACAACCTGCATATAAAACCTCCACATCGATTTTATCCGATGTTCTGTGAGCCCAAATTTAGCTTGTTTGCATACAGTACATCTAGGTATCTTATCAGCAAAATTCCACTAAAATGTAAGGATTACCAGATCTGCCAAAATAGACAATATATTATTATGATAAAGCATGCTTACGAAAAATCCGGCCTGACGTAGAAAAGTATACCGTCGAGAGCCCCCGGCAGTGTGGCGCCCTTGATCAGCAGAACGGTGATAAGGATGTATGGTAGGGTGGCTGTCACATACACCACCTGGGTGGTTGAAGGTAGGAGAAGAAAGCGGAAAACGTAATGAAATATCGGTATGGTCTGGATACATTATTATGTATCGATCTTTAGCAGCAATGAAATTTATATTTTCTCGTCTTAAACTGTAGATCTTTATATTTAAGAATTTTAATTCCCAATCAAAATATTAACATTTGTCACCAGAATGAAAAAAATGCATCCACATGTGTACTTACTACTTCATAAGAAATCTGTCCCCAAAATTATCTTTGGACTACTTCAAATGAATATCTAACTTTCCGCTACTGTGTAGAAGTATTCGTCACATAAGACCAGCTCAATTCAGATCGACACATCGTAATTGACCTTTCATCTCAATTATAATTTTATCCAAGATAGAAGTTAGGGTATCATTTCCAAGCTCCAAAGAAGGTTGCTTTGGTAGACAAAATTAAAATGGTCGTTGCAAACAATGACAACAATAAAGGATGAAAGAGGGATTGGTGTTAAAGGAAAGTCACATGATGCGTGTATGCGTGTACTGACGATGAGGCATAAAGATTTAACCTAAAACTTACTTTGCCAACAGACTTGATTCCTCTTATAATACCAAAGGTAACGCATATAATAGCTACGGCAAGAGCGAGGCAGTTAGACCACACTAGGCCGTCCATGTGCCCAAATCCTGGAGATATTTCTAGTACATTGTTCCTGCAATTCAGAATAAAAATAATAAAAGGAAGTCAAAAGATGTGTCGTAAATCTGTGTGATTTCAAAAAGACGTGCTGAATTAAATTGTCCTTGTCTTTAGTTTCAGTAAGTGTTTTTCGGCATTTGCAACACAATAAGGTCACATCAGTGCTGAAGATTAGAAGTGTTACAAGAGAGTAACAAACACAGTAAAAACCGAAGTGGAGGAATAAGGACAATAATAGATGTTATAGGAAAGAAAGAGCAAACCGCACTAGAGTACCCACAAACCACCGACGGCCCATGTCTGCTCGACCGACATGATCATTCTCCAGGTGGTAAGAAGATGCCACGGGTAGCTCCAATTTCTTTTCTTTTTTTCGCTTATGTTTTTTTTTTTCTCTCTGTCTTCCCTTTTCTCTAAAGTCAATGGCTGTAATAACGTCGATGCGCTTCCTTTTCCTCAAACAAATAAACCAACCTCTTCTTTCTTATTCACTTATATTATTTATGCATCTATTCAGACTTATATGGGCATGGCATGTGCTTAACGTCTTCTCAGTTTAATGAGCATTCCCCAGAGGACTACGTTATAGGTATGAAAGGACTTAAAAACGTTCAAAGTTTAAGCATACAGGATGGGAATCCGAATAGAGACGAAAAGTAACACAGCCGCACACCTTTTAGCTGAAATCCAGTTCTTATAATATAATCTTATGCTCACTTCATACTCTGACGTTTCTCCTTTCAATAAGTTTGTTCGAATATCGAATGTATAACCTAAATTTTGAAGTATAATAAATATTTGGAAGTAAAAAAATAAAGAAACGAAACTAAAATTAGTAATTGACCGCGCTCTATTCCAATTACCCATTTACGGTGACAATGGTAGACATTAATCAAGAGAATAAAATAGTCAATAACCCCCTTCAAGCTAAAATGTTAGAGAAGGTTGAAGGTTAGAAAAGCTGCCACGTTTCACAACATCTTTTTTTAATCTTGAAAGAATTAAAACTTAAAAGGGGGGGGGGGGCGGGGGGGGGGGGTTAAATTGGCGATTTTTGGTCAACTTTTGGTATCCGGACTTCTTACGTATTATAATACTCGAATCAATTGTAAATCTAAAAAGTTCTTACTCTTTGTGTTACAAATATCATCTTTCAGATTTTCTGTCCTAGAACTTTCATTTTGCCTACTATTTAATAGAATGTCGTTTTTTCTCAAAACTTCAATTTTTGATGTTTTTTTCTCATTAACTTTTTTATCTTCTTTTTTATTCGAATGAGACTTTCACGCCTTCTTATTCTTACCATAACCTAACTTTACAAAGGCGGAAAATAAAATCGATGCATTCATGAGTGAGTTGCATGGATAAATATGTAATCGAATTCAGAGGCATGAGGGGGCAGGTCAGTTCTCCATGTCTAACTTTTAAATTGTTTTAAAGATATCCAAAATCCCAACAGTACGAAATTTTGTATTGGGCATATCTATCAATGTACCAAGTTTGGTTAGTAAATAACACATCCTTTTTACTTTTATGAAAGCGCTTTATTTTCAATATGGCGGCCCGTTACCATGGCAACCGTAGACTTAAACAAAAAAGGAGCTTAAGTTACATTTTACATTCAATTATACTATGTTTGTCTGTTATACCTCCTTGCAATATGGCTTTATCTAAAAAGGCCCTAGTTACCGAGATAGGTTTATGAACCAGACCGCCTCCCCCCCCCCCCCCCCCCTTTTAAAGGAAATTAAGTACTTGATACAATCAAATCACAAAAGGGGAAACTGAATGCTTAGGGGTACATCATTTTGGAAAGGGGAGTGTTTCTTTCTTTCTTTCTTTCTTTCTTTCTTTCTTTCTTTCAATCTTTCTTTCTTTTCTTCTTTCTTTCTTTAAGGAAACGTTGCTGGACAAAGTGTCCGAGACCGTGCAATAAAAAGAAGGAAGACTGGAAGACAAGCAAAGCGCTTAACCAAGTATAAATCCATGAAACTGGAAAAACTGCTTTTTGTCTGATATCTTAGAAAGTATTTCCATAGAACATTTCTAACAAATGATAGGGGTTATTTTTACATTTTAAGCATCAAGCAATTCGAAGAATGCATTACCTTAGATGGTAGCATAATTATTATAATAATAGATTATACACAATGCCCAAAACGGAGCAACAACAGGAAAATGGGAATGTCAAAAAGCCATAACATTAGTCTGTGGTCATTATTTCCAAGTTGTGAGAAACATGGAACCCCTTTCTAGAACTATATGACTGGAGAACAATAGTTTATAGTTTGTAGATTAAAAATTAAAAGGTAAAAATAGAAAAACAATTAATAGCGTCACATTCGCAGCTAGAGAAAGAGATAGATAGATGGATAAATAGTTAGATAAATAGATAGATAGATAGATAGATAGATAGATAGATAGATAGATAGATAGATAGATGGATAGATTGATTGATAGATAGATGGATAGATTGATTGATAGATAGATGGATAGATTGATTGATAGATAGATGGATAGATAGATAGATAGATAGATAGATAGATAGATAGATTGATAGATACATAGATAGATAGATTGATAGATACATAGATACATAGATAAAAGCAGCTTGCGTATATAAAAAGAGTCCACATCCTTGTTGAGTAGGACTGGACTGTACCGGAAACTTACAGCCAAAACTCCGCGCTAGCCGGCTTAGCCGCGCTCATGTTGGCTTGGCTGCTAATGTTGGCCAGAGTAAAGTTGTAACTCATTGTCAAGTTGTCAATTTGACCGACGTCACTACCGTTCACCACCAGAGTATTATTCATCATCAGAGTAGCATTTCCTTCTTGCATTTTAGTGTGTCGTTCGCCTCCAGAGGTAAGCACGCAGTTTTCCGAGTTCCACCACTGACCACACAGTGTCCAGGGTAGGGGGTCGCGAAAAGAGTGGGCAACAAACACAAGCGTCCAGGCCAGAATTGTGATGTAGTACCATTGGGATATCAGTGCTGATATATTCATTGCAATACCAACTCCTGTAGAGAAAAATAATGAAGCGACCACGCACAGTCAATAATAGTCTGAACCAGCTAAGGGGTATTAAAGAACAGCATTGCGGAATATTAAGAGCATAATATCGAAAACACTGAAAGTAAAGGATCCCCCAGCTTCACCTAAAATGATTCAGCGCATAACGACTTCAGTTCACTAGTTTCCATTCTTGGCATATAACTGCAATGACACTTTAACACCCACGATCACCACAGTTGTGGCGCATAAACATGAAATGGGGGGGGG